GCAGGGCCAGGTGGAATCCCACCTGGGGGCAGGGCTATTGGGTCCTCTGACGCTGCTGCCACTCAGGGGAAGTGGTCTCTGCCTGAGCAAGATGGCTGCTGCCACATGGGGGATGAGTTAGCACCGAAATCCTGCCGGCTACTCTCAATTCTCTCCCCAAAGCCTGCTATCTCAGTCTCTCTTCAGATGTCTCTAGCCCACTCTGCCCCCACCTTTGCTCGAGACCAGGGTGAGTGGCTGCAAATAAATATTTATGTGTTGGCCCTTTAAATGGCTCTTTGCCTCTCCAGCTGCCTGTCTCTGGCAGAAAGCAACCCTGCCGCTTTTCGCAGCTGCTGTTATCTGTGTACTTTTTGGGTTCTGGTGCTGTAGCCTGGAGATCCCCGCTTTTGGTTTAGACCCCACTCTTCTCAGGGGGATCCAACTGGCCGTTTCAATATCCTTCTGGTGCTGCCGCCCATGGGCACCCCGTTCCCCTTCTCGAGTCTCCGCCACACTCCTTACCAGTTAGATTGCGCTAAAGCTGATTCTTCTGTCTCCGAGGTCATAAGGCTCTTCTCTCGTTATTGTTCAGTTGTTTGTTCCAGGTGTTTTCTCCACAGTTTAGTTGTAATTCCAGGTTGGTCCTGGGAGGAGGTCCTTGTGACTTCCACTCACTCCTCTGCCATCTTGATTCTCTGCCACAGTGACTGATTTTAAAGAGAACTGTCCTTCACTGAAGAGCCCTTGTTACCCCCAGTTACCCATGGCATGCGTGCTTTCTACAACAACAAATACAAATGTATTAGTCCACAAGAGGAATTAAGGTATTTAAATCCCTTTATATATAATACCAATAATAAAATAAAAAATTCCAGCATTTGTTTTGCAACTTATTGAGACACATGAACACTGTGGCAGTAACATTTCTCAATAATATACACCTGTTTGCTCGCTCAAGAATGGATTCCAAGTCATTAAATTCTACTTTTTAAAAAATAGTATTATAGCAATATTATGATGCAGCTTAATTCTGTTGAAAATAAATTTACCTTTAAATCACTAGAAATAACATGATTCTTTTCTAGGCTAATGTAAATGCCACTTTATTACTCCTTAAATCCAATACTCTGTAGTTAATATTATATCTGGCAAGTAGTACATATTTGAACATTTTATTAAGTGCCTACTTGGTTATGGGAATGTTATTTATATCTTATTGGAAAGATATGTTTAGCAGTGCAGAAAGCCAATTTATACAGAACATGGCACATGGGTCTGGTGCCAGCTAGTGGTACTTAGTATGTATGCTTCACAAAGATGCCTTTTAAAATAACAACATGATCTTACTGAGATCAAAAGTGCAGGAAAACAAAAATTTTTTAAATATTTACCTGCCACGTAGGTAAGAAACAACAGAATGTACATGAGAACAGACTATGAAATGGTCTGTTGTCACGCGATGCCCCACACCAACATCTGCCCGGTCCTACGCTCCCACATTGGGCAGACTCACGTCTGTTAGCTTTATTATATGAAGAGATTATTGTTGCAATTGCATCAGTAATTAAATCAGAAAAATGCAGAAGTAAGTATTTCTTGAATAAATAAAAAATATCAAACAAGGATTTTAATATCTCACTCACCACAGTGCCTGATTTCTGAAAGCTGTTACTTCGTGGGTTCTTAAAGCTAGGTCATGACCTTAATTTTTCAGAAATATTGTAGACAACCTTGGGCATCTAAGCTTTTTAATCTTCGGGGATCCCCTGTTTAAGTTATAGATCAGTGATCTGTTTAACCATTAGCTGTGCCAAGGGGATCCTAAAAGTATAAGAAAGCTGGAGGGCGCTGAGACATGCTTCCCACGTTCAGCTTATTATTTTAATGACTTAGCCATTAGCAACAAATTTTGAGCTGGCAGACTATATTTGCCTGGGATGGAAACAGAGTTAGGGAACATTATCTCAGGTTTCAGTCTCTAACACTGTTTACTTTTAGAATCAATGCTTTCTTATTAATTTTCTCATTAAGGGTGTTAATAAATGGTTTAAATAGAATTTTAGATCTCTGTTAATGGCTCACGTATTAAATGGCCATAGTCTTGAACTTTGAGGTTGAAAATTCTAATTTTCTCTGGGGCTACTCTCAGAAATGTATACATAAGAGGGGAAAAACTTTATTCCCATCTCATACCTTCAAGAGTTGACACAATTTCTGGAGCCGTTTGTCAATGAGCCCACCTGGTAGGAAGTAAGATTGAGTTAGAGTGACAGCTTATTACAGATGGAGCTTTCAGGTTCAATTAGTTCATATTACTCAGATGTATAAAGAAAATTCACTTTCCATATTTTCAGTCATTGATCTATTTTCCTCTGAAACCCATTTAAAGGAAGAGTTTTGAGTTGCGTGCGCTCCTCACGATGCAGGCATGTAAGTCACCTGCCAGATAACTGGGTTACTTTTGGATAAATGACCACACTCTCAGGTTTCTTCCCGCTTTCCCTGCTGCCATGCGAGATTGCTTGGGGTGTAAACGTTTTATTTTTGTGTGATTTCGTACCGTGGGGCCAAGGGCCGAGCATACCCTGGGCTGCTTCCGGCGCCCTGCTGGTTTCTGCTTTGGACAGGGTGGCGCGGTCTTCCCCAGGGGAGGGGAACAGCCCCCTCCCCTGGCACCCGCTGCTGCAGGGTGTCCTCAGACATCTGCTCCGCGCATAAAATCCTTGCACACCGCGGTCCTCGTCCTGGTCTCCGGCTCCCGCCCACCCACAACTCCTCTCAGAAACTCCCTGCCCTGGGCGACGCGGCAACAGATTCTGCATCCCTCGCCCGCTGCACGTGGCCTTGGGAGGAACGACCTCAGGCTCGTCTTTGTTGCCAACACCGGCCCGACTGGAAGGAGGTGTGTTGGATATGACCCCACGTGGGCTGTCCTCCAGGGGAATGGGACCGGCGTCCCACAGCCCCATTCACAGCCTCTCTCTTACTTGTGGGCATTTCTGTGGCTCCTTCCACTTGTCTCGTGGTTTTCCTTGGAGGAGAAAAACGGGACACCTGTCGCTCTACATCTTCCCTTTAATTCTCCTTTTCGCTAGGTCATGAAAGGGCAGGGCTTCCCTTCTCTATATATTTTATCCTCGTTATCCCCGCCCCCTCAGCATAGAGAAGAGAATCTCCATGGTCTGTCTTGCCATGTTTGGCTCTGGATATATTGATATAAGCTTAAAGTGCCCGCCCTTGCCAATGGACGCAGACTTGGGGGAAGGCTACAGGAAAATGGAAATTGAATAGGAAATGAAAACATGTTGCTTTAATATTTTCCAAACACTATCTCTGTTCCATCGTGATCAATGGTTGTGCATCCTGGCTGGTTATTAAAATCACTGGAGGTCTTTTACAAAATACTGAGGCTAGACCCCTACAGAAAGATTAAATCAGAACATCAGAGAGCGATCCATCTGATGCTGGGAGAGTTTAAGTCAATTGCTCAATGTCAGCAAATATGCCCCACTCTGGTGGGTCCTCTCCCCCGCTGCCAAGCACATCGTCCTGCTGAACCACGTGCTGCTATTTCTATTCCTAACTGGGTGTGCAAACCAAACTTATAATGTATTTCACGTTTTAGTGCAGTGTGTGGAGCATGTATATTTCACATGTAATTTATGTAGAAAACAAATCGAGGAAAACACGCTTGTCTCGCGCACTTCATTCCTCACAACGTTGCAGCGCGGCTGCTGCGATGGCCGCGCCACCTGGAAAGGGACAGGAAACACCCGTGCTCGCCAGTGACGGTGACGGTGGAGGACAGCTTATTTCACGAATCGCACCCGCGCTGCCTTTTGGCTCCTCCCGCCAACTCCATCGCCGCGCCGCAGAAATCTTTTTGCACATTCACAGTTTCTCTGGAGTTACTCGCAAGGATATCTGATGGTTTAATGAGTGTGCAATCTGTTGGAGGGTCGGCGGGGGAGGCAATGGAGAAATTGAACATAGACACACAATGGAAAACTTTTTACTAATACCAGGGGTCCCTACGTCCGGTAGCAAAACTGGAAAGTAAAGGAAACACGGTCCTTTTACACTGTGTTTCTTCTACTTGCTTCCAGTCACTTCCAGAGGGAAAAGGGGTCTCTAAGGACCTTTCTAGATATACGATCCCACCTCCTTCTCTGTTTCCTGATCCATGGTCTCTCTCCCCACCTCCTCTCCCTCTCTGTCTCTTCCCTTCCTCCCTGCCTCCTCCTTCCCTCTGTATTCCAATTCCTCCCTCCCCCGACCCTCTTCCTCCATCTGGACACTGAATCCAGCAAAGTGGTCCTCCGGAGGTTTCAGAGAACCAGGAGGAGGCTGCCCACACTAGTCCCTCCCACTTAAATGGGTTCGCCTGCCTGAGGGAAAGGACAGAGAGGTTGGGGATTTCTGGGGAGAAGCATGGCATATTGATTACCGATTTCCTGCCTCACCTTCCTCACGTGAACCACAGCCTCCTTTGCACATTCTGTCTATGGAAAACAAATATTCCTCATCATTGGATTTCATGCATCGTCGTTAAAAAACTTACGCTGAGGTGTGAGCTGGCTCAACTGATCACAGCTTGCCCACTTGGGCAGCAAGCGACCTTCTGACAGCAATGTCTCCTCACAGGAAGAGGGCGCCCTGGGCGTGGCTGTCACCCCATCTGGTGTCTGGACACCCTTGTTCTAAATCTGTCCAGTGTCCAGCAAATAACACCTTGCGCACACGAAGCCCGTGCGCTCTCTGTCCTGGTTCTCGGATTCACTGAGGATGGGATGGTATCTGAAGGTCATGCAAGGAGGAGAAAAGGGTAAAAATAAGTAACATATTTCATTGCCAGCCTCCGCAGGTAGCAGTGGCTGTGGCCATGTGGAATGACCTGCCAGTGACTGTCATCGCAGCCTTCCATCAGGTTCCGGAGGGCCAGGCGCAAGTGCACTGATCAAAAACTTCAGTCACAGATTGTTTTGTCTCTGTCTCTCTCTCTCTTTTCCGGTTTCCAGCCTGGATGTGTAAATACCACTGAAGTGGACATCAAGAAGTCATCCCGAATGAGAAACCCTCACAAGACACGGAAGGTAAAATCACCGTTCGTTGTGCTGGTCTGAGCTTCGAGGGCGTCGGTCATGAAAATCTCCGCCCCTCTTTCCCAGGGCTCCTGCGAGGGTCCCTGCTGCTCTTTCTTGTGGCGTGGCCGGGAGAGAATCTTGGCGGTCAAGCCCTGGGCTCCGCCGGTCCCTCTCCCCTGAGGAAACAGCCCCATCCTCAGGCACGCAGCCATCTGTGCCAGGACGGGGACAATGATGCCGGCGACCCTTCTCTCAGCAATGAAAGGCATCTGTTTCAGAGTCCAGGGGACTGTCTGAGAAAAAGTGGTACCGAAGCGAGAGGGGCATTTTTAGGAAAAAAGCCTGAGGGAGAAAGGGACGTCGTTAAGATTCTTAACTACAGATGTTGTATGAGGACCCCCTTTTAACAGCAGAACTTTGTGACACCTGTGAGATATTGACTGTGTGGTGTTGGAATGGGACAGAATACACACTCCAAGAAAAAAGCCCTCCAGAATGTAACATTTTAGATAATCTTTTGAAAACACAAGGCAGTAGTACCTACATTTTTTTTTTAAGTAACATGCAAACACACAGAAGGCACTTTTACTCATTCCATAAAAAATGTTGGATGCACATAAGCATTTCTGGCCTGGGGCAGCCCCTCCGAAGACAATGACCAAGGATGGGGCCACTACGTCAGGGTGCTCCACCAAGTTCAAGACCTTCTTTTCAGTGGCTCTTTCCTTATGTGGCCATAGCATTTTCTAGGGTCCGTGTCCCTGAAATAGGCACACAACATTTTTTAAATTTTTTTAAAAGATTTTTTTATTTATTTTTCGAGAGGGGAAGGGAGGGAGAAAGAGAGAGAGATAAACATCAATGTGCGGTTGCCTCTCACGTGCCCCCTACCAGGGACCTGGCCTGCACTGAGAATCGAACCAGCAACCTTTCGGTTTGCAGGCCAGCGCTCAATCCACTGAGCCACACTAGCCGGGGCCACACGACATTTTTTGCTAGTCTTATTTTTTGTTGGTTTTTTCTTCCATCCCTAGAAACACATGCATCAGGTACGAGGGCCCCGAAGCGGTTCAAATACCTTTTCTTTCCTGTAAGGCAGTTGGCCTTGGTGTGAGGATACAGAAGCTGCAGGGGAATTGCCGCAAAAGCCATTCAGACGCGGCACTCAGAAGGTCCTGTCCCAGGGATTCTGATGGATGGAGGTGGGGCCAGACCAAACAGGCCTGGGGGTGTCCTCCACCCCCTCCCCACCCCCGACGGGCCCCGCCCCTGCCCGGTCATTTCATCTTCTGCTCAATGTCCATTTTGCGGGCACCAGGGACTCAGTTTATGGAGCACAATTCAAAATGCAATCAGCTTTCCAAAAAGGTGCATGAAGCCACCTCTCTCTCCTTTCTGAACTTTGAAGATCTTACTCCATGTCAAGTTTCCCCAAAAGACACCGACTGAGATATGCTCTCATGTGGAAGAGAAAGGGGATGGATTAGTGAGATCGACCTTAAAGACAGTCGAGTCATCGTTTATACTTTTTAACACCATACTCAACGTTGGTATTTTACCAGTGCCTCACGTAGCGTCATTCTTCTTTTAATTTTTCAATTACAGTTTACATTCAATGTAATTCTGCATTAATTTCGGGTGTACAGCATGGTGCTTAGACAATCGTATGCTTTACAAAGTGGCCCCCCGATATTTCCAGGGCTCACCTGACATCATACCTGTTGCGACTGTATTCCCCGCACTGTCCTTTCCATCCCTGTGACTTTGAAAGTTTGAAAAGCGACAACTGACAGTGTTGCTCTTTACATAGCAGCCCCCATTTAATGATGGGAAAATCCGAGGCACGGCCAGGTAAAACGCGCAAAGGTAGGGAATCCTTGGGCGGCGTTTGTCTGGGTGGCCGCTCACTTCCTGTGACTCCCTAACGCAGGAACTGTAGGGCCAGGCTGCAGAGCTGCCTGCACTGAAATGACCAGAGAAAGACTGACGTCCCCGGGTGCTGCAGCACCCGCACGCACGCCCTTGTTTTTAACAGCTGGAGAAGACGTTGTCCCACCTCTTGATACACGTAGCTTCTCCCAGTCAGAAGCGTTGAATTTACTAGAATCTTCACAATGTTATTTTAACTCCAAGCCACATGCCGGTTTGTCTTTTTGATGTCCTTTTTATTGACCATATTGAGGTAACACTGGTTAGAACGACCATCGCTGGTACGTTAGCCCATATTTGGCTCAGAACTGAGAGAGTCCATTCAATCAACAGATTTAATGTCTCTGCTTTAAGCCTGCCTGGTGACTTTCATTTTGTGGGTGGGACTCCTCCAGTTTTTATAAGACTTCGTCCTTCATCCTCATCAAAGAAAAAGTTCTCTCAAGCCGCCCCTGAATCTGATCATCACACCTTCCGTGTTCTCTCTATAGTCAATTATTCTGTCGGAGTTAATGATCTAACCACTTCTTTTTTCAGATCTGTGCTTCGGCTTCACGTTCGTACAATATTTATGGTAGAAGTGCCATTTGAATTTTGATAAGACGCTTAATCAAATATGTACCAAAGTTACCTTACTGAATATATAACACAAAGTTACCTTTTAGAAAATCTGTGGCTACACATACTTTGTCCTAACATATTTCTTTTTTCACTTAATATAGTCTGTCTATGGTTTACAAAATGATATTAGAAGTCACAGTCCTACCCACACACCCACACCAGAAACTAAACCTCCAACAGAAGATGAGTTACAACAACAGGTGGGTCAACCTATAAAATGACTTGTTAATGTCTTACAGAGTAATAGCCATGACACCCGGATGGTGAATGTTAATAGGTATTGTGAAGGGTTACTTGTGTGGTTGATTGTTTCAAATCGATTTTGAGTTAAACGGTAACAAAATTGTCTAATTTTAAGATATATAGTAAAAACTCTTCAATATTTATCTCCCCAGGTCCCTTTTTTTCTACCCAAGTTTTTAAAGTCATGTACACTAATTTTTAGGTGCCTCCTTTTGATCAACAGCTATTTTGTACTCCGTGACTCTGTCTTACAGAATGAGAAGGCAAGAGGTTGGCTACATTGTCAGGCATTTCCCATATCCAATCATGTGACATGGTCTTTACAAAAGAGCGATTATTCTTGTTTCGACAGTTCTGATCTCTAGCTCTACGTGCCTCTTGAAGTTTTCCCATATCAACACTGGTGTGTAGTCATGGTATATATCACTTGGTGTTTTACCAGCTGGTCAATAGTTTTGTCTTCAAGTAATATTGCAAAGCAAACACCAGCATTTCATATCAAATCATAATTAGTCTCTTAGTTGGTTCAGTCATGGGACTTTTTTCCATTTTTGAATATTTTTTCTTATACTTATTATAATATGATTTATCATTTATATAATATAGAAAATCTATTTTGAACAATAATGAACATATTGTTGTTTGGAATTGCCCCGTTTATCAGAAATTAGAGCTGAAAATTAGGAGAGTGTCACTACTTGTATAACTAGTTCCTTAACTGTCTTTTCAGATAAACTACTGGCAAATACAGTTAGATAGACATCGGTTAAAAATGTCAAAAGTCGCTGATAGGTAAGTATCTCAGGATGTCCATATACATTTAACATTTTTATATGACAATGAATCTGATCAAAATAGTAAAAGAACTATTAGAAAGGGAGCTGAGATAAGTTATTGGAACTCTGTAGTAACTGTTATTTAGTTTTTCCTTTTTTAACATAGAAAACTTTCAGGAACTGTTTTGTTGCAGTTTAAATTACAGAATTATCATTACTGTTTTAAATTTCTAAAGGCCTAATCCTTGGGCAACCAGAATCAGATACAGAAGATAATTCCAAGGTGTTGAATTTTTCATTCCTGCTAGGAACAATGACACTCTCAACTTATGAAGTTACCTTTTGGCATTTCTGTAAATTTATATTAACATTCACACTGAGTCATTGCATGACTTCAAAATTTGAATTAAGCTTCAGATTTTAACTCTTTTCCATTTCTTCATTTAAATCTGTTCTTAATGACCTTTATGTTCTTCACTTTGGGGCATTATCAAATCCTACTTCTTCAACTTTTTTCCTCTCCTCTCTTTTTTTTTTATTTTTAAATACAGATCTTAAAAAAATTTTTTTTTGGTCAGTGATTTCCCTTTTACCTAATTTCTAGAAATACTTCCCACAAAAATTCCCTTTTAACCTCTTTTCCAGGTTGGCTAAAATCAGTTCAGCTGCAGGAGAACTGGTCAACCAGGGGTGGGACCTGACCCTTAGCCTTTTCACAGCCTTTCACACACTGCCCTTCACCCTTTTGCTTCCTGGTAATGGAGGGATATTGATCACATGGCTTAGGTATAGGGAGAGGTGGAATCCATAGCCATGTTTGTCTTCCAAGAAGCACAATAAGTTGATGCATGTAAGTTATTGAAATGCGAAAACTGCCATTGGATTTCCTTCTATACACAAGCAAGGATTCCTTGGCCAGACAGTTTTATGTTGTCCCTTACTTTGGGCTGGACATCACCTCAGCCAGACAACTAAGGAAGATGAACATGTTTCTTCTCTCTAGTCTGCTAAGTTACACGGAACAATATTTAGAATATGACCCATTTTTTGTGCCACCTGACCCTTCTAACCCATGGCTGTCTGATGATACTACTTTCTGGGAACTTGAAGCAAGGTAAGTGACATTTTCTCTTCCCTCAAAATATTTCATTTATTTCAGGGTTTGGGTTAAATAAGAAGAATCCTATAGCTGAGTAACTGTAAAGGTAATTTTACTCTATGTCTATATTAGCCCATGACATGAAGTTCTTATTATAAAGGTAATTGTTTTTGAACCTGAGATATTTGGAACCTGAGATATTTGGATATCTATATATGCATTTCTGGAAGACTAGCACAAAATAGGGGAATAAAAGTTTTAAAATAGACTAGTCAGAGTTGGGATCTTTGGTTCTTTAAATTTAGCTCATTGTATTAGCTTCCTTAAAAATCCACATAGTCACAAAGGTCCATGTATTCAAGTAATATGAATGCTAAAGCCACACTTATTAATAAGTCCATTGTAAGTATGCCTTTATACTTCAGTTTTAAAACAAAATAACCTTACTATAAACACTCTGAGATTGACAAGACACTGTCTTCTTAAGAAAACCAAAGCACAAGTTAGGACTCCCTGATTTCTTTCATGAGCTCAAGAAGAACTATATTATCAATCTTGACAGAACGATAAAAAGATCATTGCGTATCATTTTATAGAGTAGGCATTTAGTATTTCTGTAGCACTTCTCTAGATTGCATTTATGGACCTCCTCTTTCTTTTATATTCATCCATTGGGTCTCCAGTGCTTAAAACATACAGAGCTGTTCATCCATAGGTTCTAGATTTCATAGGTGAGGAAGCTAGGACCCCAAAATGTTATTATTCCACCAAGATTAGATCACACTCTTAACTGACAGCAGAGTCCTGTACCAGGACTTAGGCCTGTTAGTTCCCACCCAAAGCATTTTCTCCCAGGCCTGTTAGCTTCCAACACATTTCCTCCCAGGACAGCATACCACGATGAGGCTGCACTGGGAACGGGCTAAGAAAGTGGGCTATAGGGTCACAATGTCTGCAGTTTACCCCCTTATTACCTGTTCAACGCCGGCAAGATGTAACCCTCTTTATGCTGCCATTTCATCTTCTATAAAATGAGAATTATAATCATACCTATCTCATAAAGTTGTTGAAAAAAACTAAAAGAATTCATCCAGAGCAGTGAGCACCTGATGCTCGGTAAACCTGAGACTTTATTATTAATTCCTAACTTACATCTCAATACGATGTCATGCAGAGTCATCCACCTGAGATTGTTTCCTGAAAGTTAAGTTAAAGATGGGAAGGTCAAGACATATATGATTCTGAGAGGAAATGTAACAGCAGGAAACAGGGCTCATAATGAAAGGAGTGTATTTGGTTTTGTTTTATCTCTTATAGCAAAGAACCAAGCCAGCAGAGGGTAAAGCGATGGGGGTTTGGCATGGACGAAGCACTGAAAGACCCTGTTGGGAGAGAGCAGTTTCTTAAATTTCTAGAGTCAGAATTCAGCTCAGAAAACTTAAGGTAAGACCTGTTTTTTAGATCTTACACTACAAGCCAGAGATACCGACCTACGATGTGTCTGGTCATTTAAGACGTGATACAACCAATCAATTACGTTCCTAACCAACATCATGATGATGATATGAAACCATTGAACTCCTGCCACTTGTTGAAGGCAGGAAAGGGTAACTAAGGCAAAGTCTGCTCAACTCTCAGTTCCTCGTAGTGATTTATTTTTACACTGTCTCTTGATCTTTCTCCTATATAAATTTTGTACATTTGAAATGGATTCCATAAAGCAGTGTGATACTTCGTGTTTGGCAAAGTAGAAAATGGCCAATCATATTTATGCATTGAATCGAAATATCAACTATTTATCCATATCGATCTTCTTTGCGTATTGCTCAAGTAAGGTCTAGAAAAAGAGGCTCAGTACTCCAATAACTTGAGACAAAACTAGGGGGCAGCTCATTTTCTTTGCACATTACATACAGCCTCAGGGCAGGTAAGGACAGCACCACACTGAGTTGTCAGTGACAGAGGGGAACATATCCTGCCCATCTTTTGTAAACTTCATCCTTACATATTTTTGAAACTTTTCTATCTTGAAAGATTCCTGGAAATTAAATGTTTAAATGTGAGACACTGGAGTAGACTTGAATGGCTCTGTTTAACATCATTGAAGTGAGTGATAACTTTCCACTACATGAAACTGGCTTTCCATGAGCTCGCGTATTCATTATTCTTTTGAAACATCATCCCCTAATTTCCTTTCCCATGACATATGCCATTTTGTGAAATTTATTTACTGAAGGATCTCGGCATTCATTTTTTTCATAGGAACTAAGTAGAGCCAGGAACTCAGAGTATGTCACATTCTTTTCAGGGGATTTAACAGATACCAATAACAAACGTTCAGAAGTATGTAGGACTTTGACAGATGTCCCATGGGTTATGCAAGATGACCATACACCCTGGATACACCCTGGAGGAATCCTGTATCCTCCAGATACACCCTGGAGGAATCTAATCATGTAGACTTGTGCCTGTCAACGATTGCTGGGTTGTAGCTTCCTGCTCTCTCAAGTTTCTGAGAACCTTCTCAAGTTTATGGGATCCACAGTCGCTGAGGATGATTGCTGAGCCTACTAACTAACATTTTCTATATTAAGGTTATGTTGTCAATTATTGAGTACAAGAACGTATAAAAATAAGGCAGAAATAAAGGATATTTTTTGCATTACAGTGGATGGGGAAGTGAAATATCCTCTAATTCTCTTTAAGTTTTTGAGGAAATGCTGACACGGTGAGTATCAGGATGAAGAAGTATCCAGGTACTAAGCCTCCCTAGAATCACCTAACCGAACAAAAATGGCTCTGGGCCTCATTAACGTTACAGCCTGCTGATGGATGCAGAGAAGACAGGCCACAGCACAAAACGATGGTGTTTGGATCGGAGAAATGTGAAGGGACAGTTAACCCGGGGCTGGGGATCAGCAAAGGCCTCCTTGGCCAGACGGCTTCTAGACTGAGATCTGGCTGCTGCCGACGTAGCCAGCAGGAAAGGAAAAGGGGAGAAGCTTCTCAGCAAAGGGAGGAACACGTGCAAGCTTTGTTTTCATGAATTAATTGAATCCCGGCTGATTCCTTAATTCAAACTTTAGCCATTTCTTATATCAGTAATTCTATATTGCACTAGTTTCCCTACTAAGTAATTACATATGGAATAGTACATATATTATATGTATGTGTGTATATACTCAAGAAATGTGTATGAATATATTTCTTAAGTATTTACCTTATGCTTATTATATGTTTCCCGACTAAACATACAGATGACAGATAGACAGAGAGAAAGATATAAATCTTGAACACCTACTCAATGCCATAAGCATGCTTTCTACTCACTACTCTTACAAGTATGCCATGCTTTATTATCACACATCACACCAAAAATATAATGTAAGTATTGTCGCTCCCTTTTACAGATAAGCAAAATATGTTTGGGGAAGGTTAAGTGTGTTGTCCAAGTGAGCTTGCTAATCGTGCACCCTAGGCTTCCTATAAACCAACGCTGTCTACTGCTCCCAAAATCAGAGCCCCACTGCCTGCGCCTCACTATCAGAGTCACGGACTGAGGGAGACACAATGATCCGGTTAGCCCACAGAGCTAATTGCGCTCAAATGAGTCTCAGTGCATCTTATCTAAGCCACGCACCTCTAAGCACCTGCCATTTATGCAAGTGTGGCACTCATTTGAGTGTTTTCCTCAAGTATCAGGACAAAAAAGAGGAGTCAAGAAGTACTGCTTATCTATAGCTGCTTATTTGTCAGCTGCAGCCTACGTCCTCCGGTGTCTACTTTGCTCATCCCTTTTCCAGGTAAAGCACATAAATACTTCGCATAGAGTCAATACTAACTAACTAGCGATCTGAGTTTCATTTTTGCGTACTTAAAAATAGGTCAGGCACTTCAAAAGGGCCCTTTACACAATTTATGTCATGTAACCTAATGGAAACCCAGTGAGAGAGGCAGTATCATGCCATTTTACCAATGAAGAAACGAAGACCCAAAGACATGAAGACACTTGCTCGTATTCCCGCTGCCATGTAACAGGGGACGGAGGGATTTTGACCAGTGCCCCTTCCACTCTACTAAGTTATTAACACAATGATGACGACAATATGCTGAGGACAGAAAGGGCAATGAAGCTCTGAGGGAGGCATTCCAGGGAGTGGCCAAGAGCATATCTGTTGCACATTACCCAGGGGCAAACCCCAGTTATGGCAACCATGGTGGCCAGCCTTCAACAGGCGACCCTGGCTTCATATACTCAGTCCCCTGTTCTCTGAAATGTGGGGAAGTACTGAGTTACTATCGCTCAGTTCCTTAGAATAGTGCCGGCACCCACTATCAATGTAGATGGTGTTATTGTTCTCAACTTTTTGATAATTTGCCTGTGTGTCCAAGTCCATGTAAGATGTCACTGCACCCATAACAGCTTTCTAGAATGTCCTTTTCCAGCCCAGTGCTTGCCCTAGCAGGATTTTCTGCTCTGTATTCTCAGACTGTCTGGTTTGTGCTATTCCTTGAGAGTCCCTCATTGACTTCCTTGTCCTGTGGCCACATGAGTGGGGTTTTTTTCCCTCTGTTTGTTCTTTGAGGACAGATTCTTTTGACTGCCATGTCAAAGTGTGCTGGAATGAACTTGAATGAGCATTAATTATAATACTTACTGTCCCTCAGATTGCATATGGTATTCCTGTTAGATCGCAGTGTTGAAATCTGTATTTTAGGAGGAAAATGGCCTCGAGGTGTCCCTCTTCAAAGCAATAGAGGTAGTTTCACATCGAAGATGTTGACCCAATTGGATAGATAGAGGAAAGCGATTCCTAGAAACTGAAAAATCAGTGGAGTGAGTGGTATTTGATACTCTAATTCTAGCTTGACTTGAGCTTATTTCTGACCTCTCTTTAATGCCCAAGTCAAAACTTCAGTCAGGGAGGTACCGCTCATCAGCTTGTACATATCTGAAGGCTGTAACTCACAGTAGCTTCTGTCTCTGGTGATCTTGTCCATTTCACGACCACATGTACCATCAGAGCCATAACAGTGCCTGTTGAGGATATATAGACCAAGTTACTCTTTCAGGTATATTTTATATTAACCAATTGTGATGTACATATTCCTCTTTTTAACATTATTTCTAGGTCAAATCAGAAGATATCACATAGAGGAACATTTAAAGAAATGGAATCCATTAATCCAACGTGACCCCTTATTATTAGACTTTTCTATTTGCTCTTATCAAGCAAAACATGTTCTGCTGTTCTTCCCTTCCAGCATATACATTCTGTAAAGAAGCATATAAAATATATTTATATACTTAGAAGTCGACATGTATTCATTTCTTTTCAGAGCTCCTTGAGTGATGTGCTGAAAAATATAATGCCTCTGCATATTAAAGCCTTTCAAACTACTGCAAGGGAAAGCTTCCTGTTTCTGCCATTCCAGAACTCTCTGAATCCTATAGCCAGCCTAAAATTAGTCACTTGCCCTGATTTCTGCAGTGAGGGCCTTTTTTGATCTGGGCCCAGACTTCCTTTCACTCCAGCAAAGCTTCGCTGTAATCCCTTTGCCAGGTGGAGCAGAAAACCCTCTCCATACTGACCCTCATCACTGAAATGGACAAAGGACCCAAAGGATACAGTGTAATACGTGACTTTATCACACGCTGCGTGCCACTCACCCCTAATACCCTCCAAACTCCTCTCCCTCTCTAATAAATGGTTCTGTAGCACTGCTTACTTTGCTTTAATAAAAGAAAGGTTGCACCGAATCACGGCTCTGGCAGATCCACTTTTCAGAGCAAACTCATAAAGGACATTGTTTTCAATATTTCCTTCCAAAAAATTATATACCTTTGAATACAACTAATAAAAAAAAATATCAGTAAAGGCCTGGAATGGGAAGGCCACAAAGAAACTGGGTTCATTATTATGCATCATTGTAAATTGTATGATCACTTGATTTTATAAGAATTTTCAGCCCTGGCTGGTGTGGCTCGGTGGACTGAGCTCAGGACTGCGAACCAAAGGGTTGCCGGTTCAGTTCCCAGTCAGGGCATGTGCCTGGGTTGCAAGCTAGGTCCCCAGTAGGGGGCGTGTGAGAGGCAACCCACACATCGATATTTCTCTCCCTCTCTTTCTCCCTCCCCTCCCCTCTCTCTAAAAAAAATTAAACAAAATCTTTAAAGAAATAAGAAAAGTATTTTCAGATTATGAAACATCAGAGTAAATATTTGGTGTCACATTCCACGCAGGTTCTGGCTGGCTGTGGAAGATCTGAAGAAAAGGCCTATTCGAGAAGTCCCCTCCCGAGTTCAGGAAATATGGCAAGAGTTTCTGGCTCCAGGAGCCCCCAGCGCCATTAACTTGGATTCTAAGAGCTATGACAAAACCACACAGAACGTGAAGGAGCCCGGACGGTACACATTCGAAGACGCTCAGGTTGGTGCAGGGGAGGGCGGGCCTCGATGTGAGTCACAGATGTGCTCCCGAGAAGTGGACAGTTGAGATACTTTCATTCCATTTAATTATAATTGGCAGTGAAGCCTCACATTCCAGATTAGGTAATTGGATGTAAAATAACTCTTCGTTGATCTAGAAGAGACCAGAGATGCTTTCGAGTGACCCATTTTTCAAAGCCTGGTCGTGTTTTTGAAATTTGTATAGTTTTACATGCAAATTTGTTGAAAGGAAATAGTTGGAAATATTTGAAAACTTTTACTTCATCTTCTGTTTTGTTTGTCACCCAATATGTGAGCAAGCATTTGTCCCAAGTGGCCCAACATCAGGAACACATATTTGAAATCTCTTAAGATGTCATCCAATGCAAAGATTTGAAGATTCTGACATTCCTAAATTATTCATTAGTACGTCCAGAGCTAAACTAAGTTAGCTTAAAGTTACGTCAAATGCAAGCCAGTTTTGCCACTGGTGATAAAATAAAATACTAGAGTCAGGCACTTATTAATTTTTCAAGTTAATTTTTTAGTCTTCAAAAAGAAATAAAAGGAAATTGATGTTAAGATATTAACTTCTGAAGACAATTTTTTGTAGTGTTTTTTCAATCAAATTGGACATCAATGTCTCCTTAAGAACAAGTTGAATTTCTACTTTCTCTAAAGAATATTATGCTCAAGAAGAAAAACAAACTCGTAATGAGAAGATATCGTTTCCTAATAACGTGTTGAAATTGGCTTTTAATCAGAACATGCATACTTTATAATTTCTTAAACCATTTTTGGAAAAGAATATTAACTCTAGAAAGTACATTGTATTTTAAATAACAGTGTTACTACAATAAAATGCAGACGATGAAGAATGAGATACATAAATTTCCTTCCTTGGTTTTACTCTCAGCAGAAAATACATTTCTTCTTGGTGTTGCTTTAAGGAAATGAGCTACTCAACATAAAACGAACCCAGGTTGGAACAGCTAATCAAACACCGATTCTCCTTCTCTGTGCTATGGTCTTCTAGGTGGAAACAATTACATTCTACAGAGACACGTGACTGAGAGCAGGATGAAAATTCTGGCCTTGCTTCCTTCTCTGCTCGTTTATTTTTTATTTCAGGTCAAGATAAAATTTCAGACATTTTTCAAGAACCAACAATGTGTCCCATGTTTGAGATGACCTTCCTGAAGTCTTAAAAAGAACATTTATTTATCTGTGTCCTTTAAAGATATTTTGCTTAATGGATCTTCAGTAACGTGAAAAAGCATAGTTTTCTACAGAAAGCATTACCAGCAGACGCTAGGCTTCTCCTTGAATTAAGCTCAGATGTGTAACTCCAGTTTTGTTTTGTTTTGTTTTGTTTTTTGTGGGGTTTTCAACCCTATCTTCGAGAATATAATAGGAATTCCTTGTCCTTGTTTGAGAAGAGACACGACGTAATAGTTAGGAAAGCACAGTCCAGAACCAAATTGCCTGGGTTCTAGTCAGAGTCCAGCGTGTGACCTCAGTATGTGACTTCCCTGTCCCTTCGTTTCTTCATATTTAAAATGGATCTGATAGTGGTTACCAGCCTCACTGAGGTTGTGTGAGGATTGAGTTAATTAGCATAGGCAAGCATTCCGGAGTGTGTATTCAAGCATCTACTATGCACAGCCCCACCGTCTGCTAAACATTTATCATTTCTTTCATTCTCACGACCTTTGTATTATACCTTAGAAAATGAAGGCTGAGAGAGATGAATCATCTGGTCTACATTTACATTTTGTAACTGATAGAGCTTGAGCAAGATAGTATCTGAATCCCAAAATGCTTGACTCCAAAACAAGACATTATTTCACTCTTACAACACATTGATAGTTTTAAACGTACCTTACCTACTCTTGGAGAAGAACCTCCTGCTAAATAGTTGAGGCTTAATCCTGAGTGCTTTGAAATGGACTCAGAGTAGCTGCAAATTATTGCTGGTGTGTTGGAGACTAGGAAAACCGAGTCACTTCTAAAAAAATGTATTCTCTCCAAATAAGAGTGGGACATCCAGATACTCTCTCAAAGGTTTCAAAACTCTACCTCTAACTGCCATGTCACTAGACGAGAAAGACCCGGGAGCATCTACGCTCCCTTGAGCTGCACTAGGCCACAGCTCAGTCTCCTGAAGTTGGGCCAGTAACGCTGAATTGAGTCAATGCATCTTTTTTTTTCCCTCTGTTCTTGGTCTACCAATATTCATCATTAAAACAGAACATTACGAACTGACCAGAATTAAATTATTAAATATTTATCTAATTTGTCACTGAATGAGCAAAAAGAACATATAAATGGGGAGATATGGCCATCAAATATTATACTATTTATTTTTTTACATGTGCTCTGGCCCAAAGTGGGTGTGGGTGACAATTTTCCATATTATTTGCGTCAGGGCAGTCTCGGCCTCCAAATACATGTCATGCCACAGGTGTCTAGGGTGACTCCACATTGTTCACTCTGGGCCTGGAGTAGTTTGAAGAGAGAAATTGACTTACTGGTGTATTCTGAAATAATCTATATAGATGAACAACTTGATTTGGAATCACTTTATGACATTCCATGAACTAAATTCCATTTTTTTTTTCAAGAACTGGATGTGATTTACTTTTTCTGTAACTCCTCCACCAGGTCTAAAATTGTTTCATGAATAAAAGAGTGAATTTGGGAATCCGCATGTTTTCTAAACATAAGGTATTCTCGTCAGCACCGTTATTATTATTATTACTTCTAGCTGCTTCCAGATTTGCTTTTGAACTATACGTTGTGTTCTTATCTCCGTATTTGATTTTTCCTGAGAAATAATAAAAGAAGCACCTTAACCATTATTTCTTTTTAGGAGCACATTTACAAATTGATGAAAAGTGATTCATACCCACGTTTTATAAGATCCAGTGCCTATCAGGAGCTTCTACAGGCAAAGAAAAAGGTATTGGTTCTTTGTGACCTTTTCAACTCTGGTACTCGGTTATAGTTACTTGGAGTAGTTACCTCCGCTGGGTTAAGGTGCTGGACAAATGGTAAGTAAACTCACTCCAAGACCCTCCCCCAAACCTTTACATTTTTAAGAGTCATTTAAGTTATTTACCTTCTCCTTGTTGATTGCTTCTTTTCTCTTTCTGTTTGTTTCCGTAGATGTTCTTGCTTTACAAAGTTTTCTAGAAGCTTTTCTTATGTTTCGTCTTAGTTTTTAGTATGCCTAGTTCAAGGAAATTTTAAAAATCACCATAAAGAAAGGAAAAGGACCATGTCATTAGGTAAAAAACTTGAAGAGGGTTTTTTTGTTGTTGTTGTTCAGTAAACTAGAGTACACGTTTTCAGCCACATACCCCATAACTAAAAATAATCATTTTTTTCTGATAGCTGTGAAAATGTTGTGACATTTGCTTCTGAATATATTTCACTTGGTATTGAGCCTGAGTGCCCTTGGTATCCCCACAAGCAATTCTTGTGGTATCCCCACAAGCAACACACCCGATACGGTAGCCAGGCACAGTGTGGAAGAGTTGCAGCGGGCCTCAGTATTCAATTACTGTTTATAACCAAAGCCTCATTGTCGATGGCATCCTATGTCATCCGTATAACGGTGTGGAAAATCTGGATGTAAACGCCAGCATCACTCATTACTTCTTAATATTAAAAGGGTTCACACCCTTTTAATATTAAGGGCGTCTTGAAATTCTGAAATTGTAACTGTGTGTCATTCTTGATCATCATTGGGGCTAACAGGATTTTTCAAAGCCCAGTGCCTTTTCAACTGGAAATAGATACTCTGTAGTCAGACTGTGCAGCAGAGCAGCCACTAGCTACGTGGGGTTGTTTAAATTAAAATTTAAATTAATTGAGATTACGTAGAATCCTAGCCAGATGTTAAGTACTCAATGGTAACAGCCAAAGGCTGCTGAAATATTGAACAGTGTAGAATGGGATTTCCATTCTTTCAGAAATTTCTGCTGGAAAGCAATGCTTTATAAAATTAATTCTGTTATCAACAGCAATCTGGTCCCGATAGAAAATTACTAGGAATGCCACTAGGTTTTCTGGTATTTAGACTTTGCACATGTCAGCATTAGAACTTCATGTATCTTCTTCATTTTAGTATGGTTTAATGTTGCTTGAAATCACACCATTTCATTTGCAAAAGAAGAATTTTGGTGCTTAAAATAAAATCATCAATAAAAAGAGGCCTCCCTTAGCAGCGCTCCGACCTTCTCGGGCCTGTGACTTCGGACACGGTTTGGTGTTGCTTCATTTCACCTTCCTGTCTTCTGCTCTGTTTTCCTTGCTTTCTTTTTCTGTATGGGTGTATGGTCCCTCTTTCCCTTTGCCCCACCCCATCCCCCACATGCAAGTTGGAGTGCTCAATGGACCGCAGCACATCTTTTGAGAAATTTGCACAGAATGTGGTAAGTCTTATTTTTGGAGGAATTACAAATCATTAAGTCCAATTAAGAAATGTCCCCAACTTCTAACCCCGTCGCCCACCTTGAGTCCTTTGATGTAAGAGCCAACGTACTGCCTTTATCCAAATTCAGAACTTTCCTGCTAATCCTGCTGTCTCAACCCTTTCTAGAGGAGATAAAGATGTCATACGTGGAAAAACTACATGTATCAAGCTAAAGTTTGGAATGAAATCTATATTATATAAAGTGAAGAAGTAATTTCTTTTTATATTTTATTTTTACTCACAGTAGCCCTTTTTGTATTATTAAAGCTAGTGCATGCATTTCTTCCCTTTGGCTCTTTCTAAAGCTTAAAAGATTAAGAACAAGGAGGAGTGTGTGCTTTCTCCCTCTGCAGGGAAAAAAAAATGACACTAGTGAGCCGTTTAAAGCTAAAGATTTGCTGCCAGTGGTGGTCGGTGATGAGATAGGCCCCCTGCAGGACCCACCACCGTGAGCCTCTTGTTCTTTATTTTTCAGAAAACTGTCGAAAACTGTTGCATAAATCATTCAGGAGATTAGTGGTTTTTATGCTACTGTTTTCTGAGTATCTTGCCACGTGTTTTGGTGATATATTTGTTTGTGGGACTCTTTTTTACTTTATTTGCTTTGTATTGTACCAGTGCCTTTGGAACTTTCTGACATTGTGGAAGCTCAAACTAAAGCCTTCAACACATTTATTTTTATAGGGCAGAAACATCCCTATTTTCCCATGCCATAAAAACTGTACACCAACAATGAGGGCCAGCACTAACCTGTTATGAAAAGAGGTAGAACACTCTTGGTTTATACTCAAGTTTGTCTGCATCGTCTGTTGAGTTGTGTGATTAGCTCCATGCCGCTGCGTATGTGTATGTGTGTGTGTTGTGGCTTTTGCTGTGATGGCTAGTTAAGTGGAGTTGTGTGTATTGACATGTAAGCAAATTGGACTTGACAAAGGTATGGTTTTTGTTTTTAGTTTCCTTCAAGAATTTTTGTGGTGGGGAATGTTAATCAGTTCTAGTCATGATTTGCCCGTCGCGGCCGTGCCGAGAGGATCTGAGGGACAGTAAAGCAGTATATACTTTGAACGTTCACTGTGATTGCACAAACTAAAGGGCTAGAAAATGAAGGGCTCCAGCTCCAGGAATTAATTGCGCAATAAACTTTACAAAATTTTGGCTGGCTCTATTGGGGTCTCTGACCATTACTGTAAAATTTTCCTAAAGATAACCTCGTAAGTCACCATGGGAAGATAATGTAAAAGAAATGCCTCAAGCTTTTGGTGGAGAAAGTTACACAGTGCTCAGTGTACTGCTTAAAAATTGTTTCAAATTCAAATTCATCTTTTTCTAATGTAATGCTGACAGAATATTTTCCTTAAGACTACAAGGGAAGTTTCTGTGATGTAATTAAAAATAATAATACAACTTTAGGCAGATGGAAAGGGGAAGCAAAATGGTTGCCTTTCCTCCAGCACCATCCCTCATTCTCACCAACTTCCCCAGCTCTTAAAGTAGCACTGCATTTGCTTGTTTTGATTTTTTTAGATTCCACATCTAAGTAAAATCATATGGTATTTGTGTATCTCTAACTTTACTTAGCATAATACATTCTAGATTCAACCATGTTATCCTAATGACAAGATTTCATTATTTTTATTGCTGACTATTTTATTCTATATTACATAAATATGATATGTCTATCTTCCACGTCTTCTTTATCCATTCATCAATCAATGGGCATCTACGTTGCTCCCATGTGGTGCACATATCTTTTCAAAGTAGCGTTTTCATTTTTGGTGAGCAGGGGACGGGGGATGAGTGGAAAAGAAGAAGGGGAATAAGAGGTACAAACTTATAAAAGAAATAAGTTGCTGGTACGTAATGCACAGCACAGGGAATATAGCCAATAATATCATAATAACTTCGTATGGTGACAGATGGTTACTCAATTATTGTGGTATTTGTATTGTAAGGTATATCAATGCAGAATGACTATGTTGTACACCTGAAACAATATACTATTTCATGGGAACTCCACTTTTTAAAGAATAGCTCCCCATTGTCACACACAGCAAAGTTTAAGAAAAGATCAATAAGAAACAAAAGGAAGAGGGGATTAATCATCTACATCATCAATCAAAATTTATACATGAAGTGCCAACTATATTCCCAACATGTGCTTTTTCTTGGGAACATGGAGAAGGTATAGACCTTAATTGCTAGAGTGCCTAATAATATAAACAAAATGTTCTGAAGTACAAGAGAATGACAAACTATTTCTACTTGGTCCATTTTTAATGAGTGTCTGTTTGTAGAAGTTTGTTTACATGTCCCAGCAAAAAAGTGGCACCACAAGAGCATCACACACCAGTCAAAATGTTTTGCTGGACAGATCTTCCCCTTACCATTGGAGCTTCTGTTGGTTGCTGAGACGGATAAACTCTTCATCACTTTAGGAAGTAATTATAATAAACAGCTAACTGTTGCATAGCATTTTTTAAATGTTCCAAAGATACTCATTCCTTTTTGTTTGTTTTGGGTTTTTGTTGTTATTTATATGCACAACAATCCTGGGAGAGCAAATTGAGGAATAATGAGATAAGGTTGCTTTACCGATATCACAATTTTTGAATGTTAGAACCAGGACTGGAAGCAAATTTTTCTAATTTTAAATCTATTGCTCTATAGATTCCTCATTTTCTTTTCATTATGCCCAACACTGGAGGGGTAAGAATAACTCACATTTTTGTTATACCTTCACTTTGGCTCATTATCTCAAGAAATCTCTTTTCCTGTGATTTACTCTTTTTAAAATTTTCCTTGTCATCAGAGAAATCTGTTTAGGTCTTTCAAGAGTTGCTATGTCCTCTCATGCCTTTAAATGCTATTCCTGTTTGGTTGACTTCATTCTCTCTTGACAAAGTTCGTACGCTTTACTGATTATAACAATTGTTTCCTTCCTCCACCACCATCTTCAAATCTGACATCAATTTTCCAACCATTAAATTATAATAGCATCCGTCTGCCCACATACACCTTAAGGGAGAACAGATAGGAAATAAGCATAAAAACAGGCTGGGAGGGGTGACCAATGATGCCTTCAGTCAAGATCCATAAATCAAGTACCAACTGCTTACCTCCTCTTCTTAGTTGGTGCAAAGTAGTAATTAAATCAGCCTGGCTCTGGGCTAGGACAGTAGAAATGAGAATTAGAGAATGTTCGTGTTGAACTCTCAGGAAGTCACCTAATTGAACCTCTTTTAGGGGGAAAAAAATGTGCCCTATCTCAATAAAGACAGTTCTCTACAGAGCCTTTAAAAGGATCAGCAGGCCCCCTCTGCTCCGGGTCTGTTTGCTGGTGCACTGGGCCCGTGAGGTAGGTAAGCTCGAGCCAGCAGCCAGTTGCCAGGAAAAGTTATGGAGCCTCTGTGACCGAATTTTAACAAAAGGACTGAGCTGGGTCTGAAATCAGTTGATTTTTTGGGAAGAAATCTGTGCTTAACGCTGTAACTCATCAGTATGCATATGGTTTAGAACACATGTAAATATAAATCCTGTAACGTGTTTGGAGTTTTAAAAGTGAGAAAGAGGCATACTTAGTTCTTTTAGAATTTTCTTTCTGGGTTAAGGCTTACTAAATTCTTCAAGCTCCTTATGGAGTTGCTGACTAACACAGTTAATGCACATTTCACAGAAGCAGCAAAATGCAGTGAAGAGAACCCAGGCCTGTAAGCTTGAAGGGTTAACATTTAGGGTTGCAACCTAGTGCCCTGCTTTCTCCCCATATGAATTTTTTAAAAATCAGCTAGTCTGCTGAGCCTCAGCGTCTTCATCTGCAATCTCTCTACCCAGAAATAGCTCCAATTAGCACTTTGCACAAATGTACATAAATATTAAAGGAATGTGGTTATACTCTCATTATGCTTTTGAAATCGGCTCTATTTACTGAAATTACACTATAACCGTCTTCCATGTCATGTTCTTCTGCATCCCTCTAGTCACTGACTACATAAAATTCCTCTGAATGGATATAGCCATAATATATTTTTTCAATCCTCTGTTGGTGGATATTTATTTATTTATTGCCATTATGGGTCAAAGGGTGGTGGACATCCTTAACATTAAATGCTGACTTTTTTCTTTATATTTACAACCCTTGAATTGCTTGGTTACATGGAATGCAAAAGTATAGAAGATGCCTATCTATTATTCTCTCTCTCATCTTTACTTTTTCTCTAACCCAACAGAGGGAAAAATAACTCCTTATAGATCAGACTTTGTGTTTCTGCGTCCCAAAATCACTTTATGGATGTTACACATTCATAACAGGCTTCCCCTACCAGCGGGTCTTCACTCTGTGGGGGAACGGTAGTCACTTCCACGATACCCTTCCACAGTCTTACCCAGCCTGTCTTTGCTTTCATATCCCTTGATATTGCTTCTCCCACAATGAAATAGAGACAAACCTTAGAGTCTTCCAAAAGGTCATTTTCTAGGTTGTATTTCTCCTAGCGAAGCCGCAGCACAGTGAACCCTCCGTGGAGCTGGTGAGATCCTTAATTCGCGTAAACGTCACTCATAATGAAGCGAATCATTGGCTTTGCATAAGCACCTGTCGTGAGGTACAAGCAGATCAGCAGCGGTGAAAAGGACGGTTTTGATTCTGTGTCTGTGCAACCTGAGGACTTTGTGCATATTCTTTCCTGGTTGAGTGCTGTAGATTTTATGACTTCAGATAACAGGTATAGTCATATAGATAAACCATATAATTTATAAACTTGTCATTGGGTTTCCCTGCCATAGATATTACCAGTAAGCACATAAAGTGAGGCTGGACAAGGATGACTGTTTTCTTCTCTTTCTTCTCTTACGGACCTGAAGCATCTCATTTATCATTGTGTTGTTGACATATATGGTTACCCATCTAGTTTCATTGAAACCGAAGCTGCTTGTGGTGATAACTTGCCTGAGAAAGCAATCTGAGGGCCCCGCAACATGCTGTAAATCGATTGTTCTGAAGTGTATCAGGCTATGTGGCCCATGTAGATTGGGCAATACATCTTCATTCTCCCCTAGCACCATCATTAGTTTTTAAATTGCCATTCAAGTTCTCTAAACTGTGAATTGCATAGTGGTTTTCAGTCAGAGAGTATCCAGCACGACCCAGGGATTCCTGAGGAATGTGTGGAGGTTGCTGAAGAGACAGCTCCCAGTGGGAAACTTCCCCTTCACTGCTACATACACCAGAGGCGGAAGTTTCCATAGCATTTCCCGAAGTACTGTTCTGACCTACCCGGGGCCTTGGGTTCATGCCAGTGGCTACGAGACCTCAGCTACCTGTGTAGCTGGAGACCATCGTGGGGGCTTTGTGTAACAAGCGTGTAACCCAACAGTTCCCCTGTATCCAAGCACTACCAGATTCTTTGGTCCAACAAAATAAAAACAGTCACTGAGCACCTACTATGGGCCAGGCACTTTGCTTTCTAACTGAGAATACATAGATCATGTGATACAGCCACTACTCTTTGGCAGCTTACAGTTTATACAAGGATAGATATGAATAGGAATAACTAATTTGGGGACACCACTAGCATGCGCACCAAAGTTGGTTCATTCGTCTCATGAAAATTAACTGTTTAGTGAACAGAACTAGCTTCCCAGTAGGTTACTCATGTAAATCATAAAGGTATGTCTTAAAGCAGCACAGAATAAGCAGGAAAGAGAGTTAAGACCTAAGCAAAAGACCTGTCTACTAAAGAGCGGGGGCATCCAGCCCTGAAGGAGAGAGAAAATAAAGGTAGACCCAGAGCCCTGGCCAATGTGGCCCAATTGGTTGGACACCGTCCCATGAACCAAAAGGTCACAGGTTCGATTCCCAGCAGGGCACATGCAGGAGACAATTGGTCAGTGTTTCTCTTTCTCTCTCCCTCTCGCTCGCTCTCTCTCCCTCCTTCCCTCCCCCCCTCTCCAAAATCAATAAGCATCTTCTGCTGTCACTGGCTGAAAGCTAGGTTCTGAATTTTTTTCCCCAATTAAAAGGAAACAGTGCTTGATTTTTATTCAGTACAAGCAAAAGGGCCCTTGTGAGTTTCCACACAGGGTGTAGAGAAAACTTGATCTTTAAATTATTGATCATTTCTTAAACATATTGTTCTTTTTCCCAAATGTGGCCATGTGTGATGATTTGATGATTTCCCTCCCAACACCACCTCACCCCCTCATTAAACTCGAGCCACATCAGGTAGTAAATCTGTGCTATTGCTTTGACTAACTTATTACTAAAATATTATATTTCTTTAAAAAATCTTTTAATTTTTCTCTTACTATTTTAACCTCTGATAGGTACAAATTCCATTCACTCAGTGGACCATCTATTTTATATTAGAACATACACTTAATAAGAGATGAAACAGAAATTGACAACATGTTATTCTGCTCAGAAGTTTTGTATGTCTTACCTCTCTAGAGTACTCATAATTACCAGGGACAGTTTTAGCTTTCAAGATTTCTCCTCAAAATGAATATGTATTCTAGGAATTAACACAATATGTGGAATCACAATATATGGGATATCTCTGGGGTTGGGGTTGGAGGAAATTGGGTAGGAGCACAGGGAGGTGCCTCAAGTTGGAAGTAAGGAGCAAGGAGATTTTTATCTGTAGATGTATAATTGGGACCTTTATCTCCATTACTTTATAAAATAAGGGACAGAATCAGTCTTGAGTTTCCACCAGTCACACTATCAAAAATGCACTTTATTGAACTAAATCACACCCTGTGCATATCTAAATATTTATAAAGGCATCACCAAGTCCAGTGATTGGACAAGAATGCATTCACATTACTATCCATCAGAGCAGCCTAGTGGTTTTGTTGTAACATGTTTATTACCAGTTGCTACCCCAGATGTTGTATTATTGCTAAGCCTCGATGGAACGTTTATGGACATGTTTTATGAGTTGCTGATCTGTGCTGTGAACCCATCAGTCTGTTTGCAGTGGGGACGGTGTGGGGGTGGGGGGAAGAGGGAGGATCATTTTGTTTGACATGTCGGTGGGAGGGAAGGTGGCCATGAAGTTTGAACTAAGATGTAGTTAAAGGGTTCCTTGTTCACCCTTGCACAATAATAAGCTGTAATAAATAGATGTTACTTATAATTCAGGTTTTTCAGTGATCATACTGTGTTTTACCCTGTTTATATTTTTCCTCAGGGGAAATCTGTCACGTCAAAGAGATTAACAAGTCTTGTTCAGTCTAACTAAAAGGATCATCCTGTAGCATGGAAGCAGACTGAGTCGTTGCATACCCTTTGTAGCTCTGTGTTGTTACCTGGAACAGAGGACATTAGACCAAGATGTTGCATGAGCAAAGGACCTGAATTGTTCTTCCTCTGTGTGCAGTAAGGCATCGCCATCTGCAAGGGACGCTGCCATCTCAATGCCTCCATTTCAAAATGTTGTCTGCTCACTTCCTCCTTGTACTAAGCTGGATCTGTGTCTTTTCCTTTTTATCAAGTTCAAGTGAAGTAAACCTTTTACTTTCCCCACCTCCCCCTTCCTCTCTCTTTCTCTTAAAGCTTCTGCTAGACACACAGCTCACTGAAAATTCAGTCAGTCACAAACTGGAAGAATTGTGAAAGAAAAAAAACATATATCAATAAGTATACATATGGCTTCACATTTGTCAATCAATCAATTAGCACAGGAAGTTCCACTTCACCAATGTATTCAGTCGTAAACAAGCTCACAGCTTTGTCCGTTGTCTGTACATTCTCAGTTAATGTTTCTTGCATTTATTTTTATACCGTATTTAAATAAGAAACACCTTTTACTCCAAATGGATTAAAGTTGATTCCTTCTCTGTAAATTTGTGTATGTTTATATCGTTGTTTTATCTTTCATTAAAAGATGCCGAATCTCGTTGCTTTTGTAACCTTTGACTTTTGTGGTAACTGAAAAAGAAAATGCTCAGAGAGCATCAACAAATGTAGAGCTGCAATTTAAACTCTCACCCTGGAGGTTTAGTTCGGGGTTTCAAGACAAGCTCGGGTGGTACAAAACCAGGAACGATGGAAAGTGTTCAGACTGGAGGCTCACCCAGGGCCTGGTGCATCATTTTTCTTTTATGAAAAAAACACCACCACAAATTGGGCTTGTGTATTTCACAGCTACCTACAGGTCTTTCCGTCTCACTATGAATATGCATCTCTATGCTTTGCTAATGAATATTCTATTAGAATTAGGTTTTAGTGTGACTTCCCAACTCAAGAGCTGATTTTTTTCTTAAGTATAATTCTAAAAATGCTAAGGCATTTTAGGTCAGTGGCTCTTAACTCTTTGATGGTAACAAATCCCTTTGAGATCTTGATAATTACTAACACTCAGTGAGTGCCTCCCATGTGTCTGCTACTGTGTTACGGTCTTCAAGTGCCTGTCAAATCCTCACAGCCACCCCTGTAAGATCACGTCTGTAATTTTGAGAATATTGAGGCAGAGAGAAGGTAAGGGACTTGTTCAAAGTCACGCAGCCAAGGGGTGCGTGGGGGTAAAAAATCCAAGCACTGTGATCCCAGAGCCTAGCATGCCACGCTGATCCACTTACACCGCACCACTTCCTTTGGTAAGTTAGGTGGAAATCCATATACACTGTTACACAGGAAACATCTGCCCTGAATTTAAGGACATTTCACAGAATACCCTCTGAGAGTCATCCATGGGCCCCAGATAAGAAACCTGACTCCCTTTTAGGTTCTATTAGTGACGCACAAGGTTTTCCAGCCAGGGTATGGATACCTGTTTGCTTTTGCACCCACCAAGCCATTGCAGACTCTGGTTTTGCTTTTTTTTTTTTTTAAAGAGGTCTGTTATTAATGTCTATTAATGACCAGGTAAATTTAAGTTCCTAAAAAGTTTGCCAACATCGATGGGAAATCAACAGTGGAGTCTGTTAGCTAGTTTATAAAAACTGCCACAAAAATGGAAAACACTTGTAAGGAGAAGTTCGTACACAGGCTATGATTTGAACACTGAATAGTTTCCGAAATATTTAATTATATGTCCATAGGTCTTTTAAAAAGGAATCCAAAAAGTGCAAATAAATTGAAGCTTATCGATGTCCCCCTTGAAGAGCACTTAATTCAGGGCAGCTTTGGGCTGACAGGTTAGATTGAACCCTAGCTGATAGGAACATTCATTGGGAAAAAAATAATCCTGTTCGAAGAACGTGAGGCATAAACAATGACGCGTGCACCAGGATGATTGGTTATTTTGGAGGCTTATCTTCCACAAACTGTCAGTCCTTAAAAGCCCGTCCTTACAGACAATTTCAAATTATGGATTTATACAGAAATGAAGCCAACAGATGACAAAGAAGAGAAACCCTCAGGCAAGTATCCCCAAATCAGGAGCTTCTAGTAAAAGTATGAGTCAGTTTCTGGCTTCGAAAACTCGGGCTACGAAACGGCGGCATTTGAGGAGAAGCACATAGTAAAGTTTAGGAGTTAAACTTTTTTAGCAGTTAAGCATGGCATCTATTCCCCACCCCATTTCAGGACAGTCTGATCTCTAAAGCACAGGGAAAAACTCACGTTTCTAATGAATGAACTGGTTAAGAAGACTTTTCTACCTTAAAGCAATTTAAAAAGTCATCCACCCACGTGGTGGCCCAGACTTTCTACTCTTACATTGTGAAACTATTTAATTCACCCTCTAAATGGCATCAGCCTGCTACTTTCCTTCGCGATGTCTCAGCAATGTTTCCTACAAAGGATTTTATGCTTGAATCAGAGCGCTAGAAACAGTCAGCAGCATCGCCCCAGCTGTCTCCTGTCGTATGCCAGGAAAACAAATGGCAGAACCCCTCCCTCTTTATGACAAGTGTGTGTGTGAGTGGATCTTGCTGCTCAGGACTAGCAGATTCATCTCCCATTCCCCTGGCTGAGTGCTCACTTCTCTTTAAAGATGGGTGGCGGTCTAGGAATAGTATTGGGATATGAAGACAGGTAAGTCTTGGCTACTCGCATAAAATTAGTCCAGCCTACATGGACTAATCATCTGTACACATACGATTTTGTGTCCTTAAATCCATACTTGAGAGAGCACATTGAAATACACACTGATTTTATTATGACTATCTCTTTGCATACTCTCAGACCCTATAAAATATTAGCAGGACATAACCAAAGGTACCATCCCATCTTCTAAGTCATATTAAGAGAGAGTGGGAAATATTTAAGATTTTGATGAGCGGAAAGGATGGAGAAAGAACTAAACTCATTTATCACACTCAGGTACCTCATATATTTTGTACAGCCATGTACTTGTGTACTTACTGAGAATTTTGTAATCCAAATTAACCTTTGAAAAGACACCGAATGATGTATCAAACAGATAACCTTATTTTTAAATAATATTAAAACAGAAACAGTTGTATATGCCTTTGAATGCCTTGAGATGTTTTCCTGGAGCTGAAACATAGTGCATTTGTGACTATTTTCTAAAAGGTTATTAGATCCAAGGTGGACATAAGAACCTCTTAATTAATAAATTGATTAATCTTGATGTTTTTATTAGATTATAGGGCCTTAATTATTTCACACTTGTTCAGAAATCAAATAAATTGGAGTATGTTTGATATCTTTTTAAAGGTTAGTAACATCTAACTCCAGTATTGGTTAAAATGATTAAGACAATGTATCTGAATCAGCAAGCATGGGATTTGGTACATGATTAGCAGTTAGGAAATTATATTTCCCTTCCCCTATTTCCTGAAAAGGTCATCTTTGTACATAGGTCAAAGACAGGCCCCAACACCCCTCCAGCTGGGGAGGAATCAGGGGTGAAGTTCAGTTGGCCAAAGCCTAGTGATCGATCAGGACCCCAAAGCCCACGAATAAGACCTGCAGAGCAGTCAGGTTTGACGGTGGATTGGGAACCAACCAGATAGTCAATGAAGAATCAGGACCAAAAGAGTGACAAGAAAGTGAAACCAGGAAGTCAGAGAGACTGTGTCCTGAACAAGCAGGTGCTGAAAACTGCAGCTCTAAGGTATATACCTGGGGCTTTTTAAAGGGCGTTCATGGCTTCCCCTGCACATAGAACAGAAATACTGGCAGGGTCCATCTAATACGAGCTACGGGTAAAGGGGAGAGTAGAGGGTTGTGAGAATACAGCTGGAGTGAAATCGCACATTTTTCCCAGTTCAGGGCAGTCAGAGGTACCTTCGGCCCCAAAGTACAAGTATAGAAACTTCTCCCGCCCCTAACACACTAATTTCCAGAGGCTCCTAGAAAGACAAGGAGAAGTGGGATGGAGAATAACAAGACTGACTGGGTTGCCTTGGCTACAACCTCCCGATTCCATGATACGGTGGCTGGAGTATTTCCAGGTGAGCCGACCTGTCCAGGCTGCAAGGCGGCCTCACTCAAGTAGTAGCTGGGCATTTGGGAGGCGGGTTTGCATCATACAAACTGAGGGAATGTCAGGTCATGAGGAAGAAAGTGTGCCCAGGATAGCTGCCTACAGACCACGAGTTTAAGTTGGTTCTGCAGGGAGACGCCGAAACGCACACAGGTGCCCACCCTCCAGCACCCAATGAGAAGAGCACAGCATCGTCTCAGTGGTTGTCCTGCACAACCTATGTGGAAACGTCAAACTCAGAGGGAAGACCACGCCATGAATTACTGACTTACAACATTTAAAGTTGTCCAAAAGGTCAAGGGAAGACCAAGGAACGGTTCCAAATTGAAGGTGACTAAAGCAACGCAGCTAAATGCAATGCGTGGTTGTGGACTCGGTCCCTCTGCTGTCTCGTACATTCGTGGGCCATTGGCAACGCCGGGACTGGCTTTGTGAAATAGATTTTCATAATGAATCAGTGAAAGTTTCCTAACGCTGAAGGCAGGGTTGTCGATATGCAGAATGTGCCTGTTACTAGGAAATGCACGCTGGAATGTTCGGGGTGACGAGGCGCCCCGTCAGCGCCGTCACCTTAAGTGACTCCCGGCGGAAATCTTTGTGGACTCATTTGCAACAGTATGAGATTGTTTCAAAAGTGAAATTTCAAAAAGATAATTGTTTCAAGTGGAGATAAATAAATGTTGGTTTTTCTTTGGTTTTTTGTTTCTTAGAAAAATAAGAGAAGGCCCTGAATGGCTTTACTCCATCACCTGTAGGAAATGCATAAATTTCTAGAATACACGTTAGAGCATTCAGGTGTATCCCGTAACTCCAAGTCTCCTATAATGGAGCACCTAGAAATGCCAGAAAACATTTTTAAAAGTTATTTTAAATGTATAACTGAGTTCACAAGAAGGCAAATTATTCTCAGAGGAAAAAAAGGGGGAAGCAAAATTAGGAGGGATTATTAGAACTCAAGATTTCAGCAAGTATTCATATGTATCTCATATAGCAATATGTTGCTGATGAAAGGACCCACTTATAAAACACAACATATTCTAAATAACAGCAATGACCCATAAGAAAAAATTAGGTCAAATACTTCATTCAAAATAAGTGTTAAAATTATAAAGTAGTTAAGAATAATGGTAGCAAGAATGAATGAACATCAAAGAAAATAATACATTTTATTGATGAACATAAAGTAACATCAAATTAATGGTGACTAGGAATTTTCACTATTACACTCACTGATTTTTTTTTGCCAACAAATTTATAAATTCAGTGTGATCAATCAAAATCTAAATAGAATTATTTGTGGATCTTTTCTATTTGATTTTAAATTTTTATGGAAGCATAAATGCGTGACAATAACTGGGACATAAAATGAACAAGCCAAAGCCACTTAACCTACTACTTAGCAAGAAGCCCGATACAGCTATAGGAATCTTAGAAT